AAAAAAAAAAAAAAAAAAAAAAAAATGAGCTGGGCGTGGCAGCGTGTACCTGTAGTCCCAGCTATTCAGGAGGCTGAGGTGGGAAGACTGGGGGCGGAGGGGAAGATTTGCTGAACTGCTTGGTTTATTTTGATTTGTTTAATTTTGAGTCGGGAGTCTCACTCTGCCGCCCAGGCTGGAGGGCAGTGGCTCGCTCATGGTCACCGCAGCCCCGACCTGATGGGCTCCGGCGATCCTTCCGCCTCAGCCTTCCAAGTAGCCGGAACTGCAGGCGCCCGCTACCACGGCCCGCTGATTTTTTGATTTATGGGTAGAGATGAGGTCTCGAACCCGCGGGCTCAGGCAATCCACTCGCCTTCGCTTCCCAAAGTGCTGGGATTACAGGCTGAGCCACCAAGCCCAGCCTGTCGTGAACTTTTCAAAACAGAGGGGGAGGCCTGAGGAGACTCAGGCTGCCAAAAGAGCATCACCTGCTTTGCAGCTGCGGTTCCCCCCAGGGCGGGAAGACACAGAGCACGGAGCAAAGGCACAGAGGAGGGAATCCCAAAACAGACCCAAGTCCACATGAGTGGAGATGGCTGGGACAGGTGGCATTGCCAGGCAGCGGGCGCCTGGGGCTGAGGGAGGAATGGATTATTCCATAAATGCCGTTGGGGATCATGGGTAGCCATCTGGAAGAAATAGGAAATGAGAGCCTTGTCTCACACCCGACAGAAAAATAAATACAGAATGCTGAATCACGCATTTTTTAAATCGGTCGTTTCCTAGAAACACGCACAGGTCACAAAGGCCCCCGACTTTGCCTTCTACAGACCCCATACCCAGAGCTCCAGCTTTGAGTTCTAGGAGGGAGGGCCTCTAGGGACCAGGCACGCCAAGGGGGCGGAGCCTCCCGCCGCACGGAATTTCAACGGGGCGGGGCTTTCAGAGGGTTGGCGTTCCAAGGGGGCGGAGCCTCCGGCGACCCGCGGCGTTCTAAGGGGGCGGGGCCGTCAGGGACTCGGCGTGGACGAGGGCGCAGTTCTATGGGGGCGGGGCCTCCCAAGGAGAGAACGGCGGGCTGAAATTTGATACCGTATTCTCCGGTCACAGAGGTCCCAAAATGAGGCCAGCTCACGCCTGTAATCCCAGCGCTTTGGGAGGCCAAGGCGGAGGGATTCCTAGAGCCCAGGAGTTCGAGACCAGCCTGGGCAACAAAGTGAAACCCTATCTCTATTATTATTATTTTTATTATTATTTTGAGTCGGAGTCTCACTCTGTCGCCCAGGCTGTAGTGCTGTAGCACACTCACGGTCACCGCAGCCTCGACCTGCTGGGCTCAGATGACTCTTCCGCCTCAGTCTTCCAAGTAGCTGGAACCACAGGTGTGCGCCACCACGCCGCTAATTTTTTGATTCACTGTAGAGACGAGGGCTCACCATGTTGCTCAGGCTGGTCTCGAATCTCTGGGCTCAGACAATCCTCTGGCCTCTGCCTCCCAGAGTGCTGGGATTACAGGTGTGAGCCACCACACTCAGTGAAACCATATCGCTATTTTTTTTTTTTTGAGTTGGAGTCTCACTCTGTCGCCCAGGTTAGAGTGCCATGGCGCGCTCACGGCCACCCCAGCGTCGACCTGCTGGGCTCCAGCGATCCTTCCACCTAAGTCTTCCAAGTAGCCAGAACTACAGGCACGCACTACCACACCCAGCTAATTTTTGATTTATTGTTGAGATGAGGTCTTGCCAAGTTGCCCGGGGCTGGTCTCGAACTCGCGACCTCAGGCAATTCACTTGCCTTGGCCTCCCAAAGTGCTGGGATTACACACAGGCTGAGCCACTGAGCCCAGCCCCCTAGCTCTATTTTTTTTTTTTTAAAGCTGTCCTAGCTGGGCTCGGTGGCTCAGCCTGTAATCCCGCACCTTTGGGAGGCTGAGGTGAGTGAATTGCCTGAGCCTGTGGGGTCGAGACCTGCCTGGGCAAATTGGCGAGACCTCATCTCTATAATAAATCAAAAAATCAGCTGGGCGTGGTAGCGCACCCCTTTAGTTCCAGCTACTTGGAAGGCTGAGGAGGAAGGATCGCCGGAGCCCGGCAGGTCGAGGCTGCGGTGGCCGGGAGCGGCCATTGCACTCCAGTCTGGGCGACAGAGTGAGACTCCAACTCAAAAAAAAAAGAAGCTGTCCTTCATGCCTAAGAGTTGGCACTGTGCTCATTTTGGTGCTGGGCACACCCAAGGACTCATTTGTCATATTGAGTTTCCTATGTCACCCGCCCCGCTGTTGCCAGGACCATCAAATCTCAGAATAGAAGCAAGCACAGACCAACAGCAGTGTCTGCATGTAGAGTAGGAAGGAGTCACGCACTGGCTCTGGGGGTCCTGCTTTCCTAGTCCTGTCTTCGGCGCTTCCTCCTTCTGTGTCTTGTGAGTCTCAGTTTCATCCTTCATGAAATGGGAATCATAAGTAGCACTTGCCTTACAGGGTTGTTTCAGAGACAAAACAAGACCATGAGCCAAAAGCTCATCAAAATTATTGTAAAGAGAGTCCACAAGCCAGGCTCAGTGGCTCGGCCTGTAATCCCAGTGCATTGGGAGGCTGAGGTGAGTGGATTGCCTGAAGCCTGAGGGTTCGAGACCCGCCTGGGCAACTTGGCGAGACCTCATCTCTACAATAAATCAAAAACTAACTGGGCATGGCAGTGCGCGCCTGTAGTTCTGGCTACTTGGAAAGCTGAGGCAGAAGGATCGCTGGAGCCCAGCAGGTCGAGGCTGTGGTGGCCAGGAGTGGCCACTGCACTCCAGTCTGGGCGACAGAGTGAGACTTCAACTCAAAAAAAAAAGAGAGAGAGAGTCCACAACAACAGTTTGTTGAATGAGTGAAAGAACATGTCTCCCCAATTTTAGGTGGCATCCATGGGATAGTGAAATTAAATACAGATGGTTCCAACTTACGGTGGTTTGACTTATGGCTTTTGACTTCAGGATGGATTGGGATTGGGGTCTTTAATGTGTTTTTGACTTATGACATTTTTGATGACACTGGGTTTATAGGGATGCAACCCTATTGTAAACTGAGGAACATCCATCTTCTGAAGATGGTAGCATGTTAATGAGTCATGGGTGGAAGTTCTCTCAGTGAGTTTCAACTTATAAACAGGGAAACTTGGCCGGGTGCAGTGGTTTACACCTATGATCCCAGCACTTTGGGAGGCCAAGGTGAGAAGATTGCCCGAGTCCACGGGTTTGAGACCAGCCTGGGCAACTTGGTGAGACCTCATCTCTACAATAAATCAAAAAGTAAGCCAGGCATGTTAGGGGGCCTGTAGTTCCAGCTACTTGGAAGGATGAGGTGGAAGGATCACCTGAGCCCAGCAGGTCAAGTCTGCGGAGGTCATAAGAGTGACACTGCACTGCAGCCTGGGCAACAGAGTGCGACTCTGACTCAAAAAAACAAAAACAAAAACAACACAGGGAAACTGGGACCAAGGACAAGGGAGCCATTGACTCAGTGTCAGGAAATTCTGCGAGACAGTGATTTTCACAGAAGACATGTGAAAGGCAGAATTATTTTTTGGAGGGAAGGGTGGGAGAGGCCAGACTCCATCTTCACATGTGGCAGCCAGACTCAGCTTCCTAGAAAGCAGAGCTGGCCAGGTGCGGTAGCTCATGCCCATAATCCTAGAACTTTGGGAGGTGGAAGCGAGAGGATTGCCTGAGCCCAGCAGGTCGAGGCTGCGGTGGCTGTGATCATGCCGTTGCACTCCAGTCTGGGCGACAGAGTGAGATTCCGACTCAAAAAAAAGCAGAGCTGACCAGTCTTTCCTCTGCTTCAAACCCTTCCAGGGCACTCCAGCAGCCTCAGGAGAAAGCCCAGGCCCCTTTGCCTGGCATTCAAGGCCTCCAGTAGCCTGGCCCTGCCCCCTCTGCTGGGCACACCCACTAGACTTTTTGTGTCTGGGGCGCCCATTGGCCTGGCCACGCGCCTCTCCCCACGGGCTCACTCACCACCTCCTCCTCCATTTCCTGTTCTCCCTCCATGCCGCCTCCACCCCGGCTGAACAGCGCCTTCTGCTTCTCCGCCATCTCGTAGGTGGGCTGCATCTCTGGGTCATCCCGCAGCGTGTCCAGCTTGGGGTGGAACCACTCCCACTGTGTGGTGCGGTTCAGCACCTCCAGGATAGACAAGGGGTCCTCAGGCCGCTGGTTCAGGATCTTGGTCAGCAGGTTCACCAGGTGTTCATACCTGCCTTCCACGGGAGGAGGACATCACTCAGCTCACTGAGCTGGCTGCCCTGTGCCTGGTGGGGCAGCAGGAGGTGGGGGGGGAGGTCCCTGCCCAGGTGGAGCTGACATTCCGAAGACGGAGACCCACGCTACTCAGACATGCAAAATACATAGTGTGGCAGGCGGTAATTTCCAGGGAGAGAAGCAGGGGATGGTTTGTGATTTGAAATATGGAGGCCAGGGAAGGCTTCCCCGGGGAGACATGTAAGCTGAGACCTGGATGAAGTGGAAGGGCAAGCCAAGGAGATTTTGAATGGAAGAGTATTTCAGTCAGAGGGAACAGCAGGCGCACAGGCCCTGAGATGCCTTAGGAGTCTAACATAATCTTGATGCCAGGATTCAAGGACTCAAGGAGAAAGGAAAATTCCATGCCAACCTTATTTAGGAATATAGATGCTGAACTCCTAAGCACAACATTAGCATGTGGCATCCAGCAATTTTTAAAATTGATGACACACCATGATTAAGTTGGACTAATAACAAGAATGCAAGTCAGGATTAATATTAGAATAATATCATTCATCAGATTTAACTTTTTCCAGCTATTTATTTATTTTTGAGTCAGATTTTCACTCTGTTGCCCAGCTCACAGCCACTGCAGCCTCAACCTGCTGGGCTCAGGCTTCCACCTCAGCCTTCCACAGTAGCCAGAACTACAGGCATGCACTACTATGCCCAGCTAATTTTTGATTTATTGTAGAGACGAGGTCTCACCAAGTTGCCCGGGCTGG